TGATTTACGAATCTGATGTAGCCATGCTTCGGGAACTGTCGCAGCGCCAGACAGAGGGGGCCCCCCTAGAAGGTTATTTATGATTTTGATGTACCATGCTTCAAAGTAATGGATAAATATCATTGCCCGGATTATACGTAAACCCTCTGACATCAGGGGAGACAGGGGGCAAGTCTGCTAAAAAGGAAATTCAAACATGTGGTGTCTACTGATTCGAAAAAAGGGTGCAAAAGGGGTGCGGGGAATACGATGGAGATTGTGGCCTACTTTGGGAAAAAAAATTATCTGCCGTGGGCCTTATTACAAAAAAACAGTGGGACTGGTAAAAAGACTGGGGGGGGGATTCCTGCAACGGCTCCTCATTTGGGGGGAATTCATTGCAGGGGAACATTAAATGGGACGTACGGGGGAACCACGGGTTTTCCCCTTCTGACCCCATGGTTGTTTCAGATTTCCTTTTTTTAAATGAAAGGCCCAAACTAAAAAGAAAAGGGGGCCCCCAGCGTTGCAGACACGGCTATTGACCTGGCTCTGGCTACCCAGTCAGCAGTACTGGACACCAAATGGACTGTCCTGGGCGATCATGGAAGTGACCATCTGCCATGCTCGGTAATAATTTCCACATCCAAGAAAGTCGAGGCTCCAAAAGCTTCTAGGCCTTTCAAGTATGAGCGGACTAACACCCTTCTTGGACTCCTCCGACAGAGGGCATGTAAGAAAGCCGGCAGATGTGTTTTTTTTCAGCCCCCATGGTGGACATCAGAGGTTAAACAGTTCAAAGAGAGCTGCAGTAAAGCCTTTATAGAAAGTGCGACGGACAGCCCTAAGCTCACAGGAGGAGTTGGAGTGTGCGGAAAGAGATACAAAATATAATTTAGAGTTTTTCAAACGCTGTGCGGCAGAGTAAAAAAAAAAAATGTAAAATAGGAGCATTTTATTGATAACATTGGGAGCGATAAGACATTGTGAATGTTTTGGAGGCTACATAGGCAGATGGCAGAAAAATCGGCCCAGCGTAGAAGGAGCAATTATAGAGATGACAGTATACTATAAACTACAAAGGGAAGAAGGAGGCTTTCCTAAAGAGGTGCATTTTAAAGACAGACCATAATGATGAAGATAACAGAGACAGAGTTAGGGAAGATCTGGCAGCCATCTTAAAGAACAAACATTACGAAGACATCATACAGGTGGCAGATGTAAAACTTGTTCTGAAAAGATCAAGAGACACTGCACCTGGGCCCGACAGGGTTATATATTCCCACATAAAAGACACGAGTATAACAAACCTGTTGGAGATGACTGCTTGCTTCAACCATAGCATTAGGACAGCTTCAGTCCCAGAAGAGTGGATGCACAGCTACCTGATTCCACTTTCTAAGCCTGGTAAGAATCATTAAACACTCGGTGGCTTTAGAATCATACCCTACAAAACACCTTTGGTAAAGTGCTGGAGAAGATAGTGGCGGGTAAGCTACAAGAATTATGGGAACAGAGGAATCTCCTTCCACAAGAATTGGGAAGTTACCGGCCGGGAAAGAACACATGGTCAAATGCAGCCGTTTGTGCCTTTGATACCTTTAAAGGTTTCAAGAACAGACAGGAATTGGTGGCAGCGGCACTCGATTTAGAAGACGCTTACAACAGAGTCAGATACAGTATCTTGATGAAAGCGCTTATGTAGAAGGGAGTGTGTCCTTGGTTGGTGAATTTGATAGCAGCTGTTTTGTTAACTCGCCGAGTAGCTCTCCGCCTGGGTTCATGGACCTCTGAACCATTTATTATAGCTCTAGGACTACCACAGGGATCTGCAATTTCACCTGTGCTATTCAATGTTTTTACGAGCAAGATTGCCTGCCTAGAAACACCTGGAGTTGGCAGAATATTATTTGCAGATGATGTTCTTGTATGGAAATCAGGCCAACCAGGCAATGCGAGTAGACCGGAAGCTGCCAGGCAAGCAGTCACCAGCTAAAGATGGCCGCCTCTATGCCTCGGGTTCACCTTGTTGTCGGACAGCACTTGTTGAAGCGAGTTTCTCCTTTCTGCATCTATCGTGAGTCTTGCAACCATGTCCCTCCGTCTTCTTGTATGTATACCCAGTCGTTTTGGTTGTTTGTCATGTCAGCACGATTCTAGTCTTACCGTGTTTGAGTTTGTCCTGTGGCAGCTCAACTGAGACTCAACTCACAACTGCAGCGTAAACAGTTATCAATATTTGATGGTTTTGTTGACACTATGACACTGACTGAACTTTCGGAGCACTACTATTTAGAGATGCTAGTAACATTTTATATATATATATTATATAATATATATATATATATATATATATATATATATATATATATATATATATATATATATATAGGGTTTTTACTCATGAGTTAAAAACCAAAGCTGAATAAAGATTAAAAGGCTCTCTTGTGAATAACGGTCCCGTAAACCCAAACAGTGCCTCACTCATATCTAAAATTCGCATGTCATTTGCGGCGATTCAACCATGTCAAAAGTAGGATTAATTGCGCATGACATTTTCGCGAAACGCAACGGATGTTTATACGGCGATTACACGGAGGCAAAACTAGGATTAACTACGGACGACAAAAATTAGCGACACACGAGAATACTCACGCTAGCGCTATCCTATGGCAGGGCCCGAGTTATATGTAAGTTGCGGACAGCTTTTCGCCGACTATAGTGCCACCTCCGAGAGTATCCCTGCGCCGCTACGCGCGGCGCAGAAGGGGCTAAACTAGATGGCTAGGACTCACGAGCAGCAGCTACCACAGCTCCTGCAACTTCCTCTAGTGTATTTGCTCTTGAGTCCTAGCCATCTAGTTTAGGCCCTTCCATGCCACTACGCGCGGCGCTGGGGATACACTCGGAGGTGGCACTATAGTCGCCGGAGAAAAATCAACAATTTACAGGAGCTACTTCTTCTGTCGCAAGTACCAGCGCCATCCTGGCGGCTGCTGGTTTGAAGTTGTCCTGAGGCGACATGTGCGTACATTAAACCGCGCATTACAGCTGATCATGTCTTGCCCGGAACGAGAATCGCGGTTAAGCCGTGCTCAGTTGGAATGGAGGCAACTTCTGTGCCACAGTTTTCACGTATAGAGGATTTCAATATCGGTAAGTAGTAGAATTCTCCTATTGTCCTCATACTTTTCGTTCTTATATTTCCTGAGTTACAGCTTTTAAATGTTTGTAGGGCAGGACGTAATGAGGCTCTGTTTGGGTTAACTTTCAGCGTAGTTCATTTATTATGGTGGCCAAAAACACACCTTGACAGGGCCTTATTACTCATTAGTTCGACTTCCGGTTAAAATGGCTACGACTCCCCTAATCCCCCCCAGCGCGCTGCTGTGTTGGAGCGGAGGCAATTTTTTTTGCTTCTGCCCGGTGGGGTGGCCGAAGTATTTTTGTCCATTTTGTAGACTGCATATAGTTTCGTCGCCCAGCTTCTGAGTTGAATGCATGGCGTGACCCTGTGAGCTGCGGATTGCATTTGGAATGTTTTTTCGACTGTGACCAACGTGGTGTGAATTGTAGATTCAGAAAAATGGCGCGATGCCGGTCGTCAATGTTGGCGTGCCCGTGTGTGATTACAATTGATCGCGTGGGAAACTGCTGATCTGTTGGCGACAAGTTCTGCTATCATCAATGATGAACTGCATTTCTAATGTTGGACTGTTTGTGTTAGCACTTCGGATGGCTACCATATGCTTTAATGCGAGTGTATGCTAGATATGCTGAGACAGCAGTCTGTCAATCTTTCCACAAGGGACTGTGATAAACATTCTGGGTGTTTTTCGCTGGCACAGGAGCAGAGCAAAGATGGGGCGACCCGTTTGCTATGAAGCTGAAACTAAGACTACCAGACTCATTAGTTCATTCAAAAACTTAAACTTGAAAATAAAAAGGAGCAAAAAAAAAGTAAAAATGATGAAATCGACTACTTAGCGATAGTTGAGGCCTTTATATCTGAAAATTATGGCACAGAAGTTGCAAATAGTGCCCAAAAAATTTGCTCTTTGTGGCTTTGGCGCCATTGAAACTCGGCTAAATATGATTAGTGTCACATTGGTAACGCAGTTTTCACTGCCAAGAGTATCCCCCGCGCCGCTATATACAGCGCAGAGGGCAGCTAAACTAGATGGCTGGGACTCACGAGCAAATAAAAGGAGGAAGCTGCACGATGCCGTAGCCGCTGCTCATGAGTCCCAGTTTACATGTGATTAAGGCCCTGTCAGGGTGTGTTTTTGGATGCCATAATATGTGGCCGTTATTTAGAGGATAGCCAAATATTCAATCCAACGATACCTCAGTGAAGCCTGTAAGTCAGTCTTTTTCTTCTTTACGAGGGCTATTCAACTGGAGGCCCAGCAAGTGGCCTGCCGATCCCGAGCAAGTGGCCCACCGATCTTTGACAAAAACAGTAAATTGAAGTTATTAAAAAAATTAAATCAGTCACTGTTTCTGTTTAAATCTTCAAAACCAGTTGTGAAAAATGTGTAAATAGGAAATGTTTGTCAGGAACCTGTACACGCGGAGATACAAATATTACCAGGTAACTGGCATAGAAATAGAAAATGTAATTAGTTCGGTGTAAAAGACAGTTCAAATAGCAGAACTCACCTGTTAGGAGCTAAAGGTAATAATATAGGCTGGAAAGAATTCAGTAGGCAAGCACCACTCCACCCGACTGGACAGTCAATGAATGCCAGATATTTAGTGGACAGGAGAGCGTTTGCAAATGCAAACAAAGAAGAAATTAAGATGTTTCGCCGTCCAACTTGATGAATCAACTGACATGTGCAACTAGGCTATCCATCTTTGCTTCGTGGGGTATAGTGAAGATGAAAATATGTTAGGAATTTTTGTGTTGCTCTCATTTACCTGGAGGGACCGCTAGTTCAGGGATATTTAATGCTCTTGATAGATATTTTTAATCACACTGATTAGAGCAAATATGTCAGAGTGTATACGGACAGGGCTGCAGGCATCATTGAGCATCGCTCAGGAATAGGTTGTGAAAATGAAAGAAATGGCACACCAGACAGTTTTGTTCACACACTGTATGATCCACCAGGAGCACCATGCTGTAAAAATAAAGGGCATATGAAGATTGGTAATAATAAATGGAATTTGCAGTCAAGCTTTGAACTCCGGGCTTGTGTAAATTTGGTATGAGCCAAACAGCCCTATGCCAGTGTCTTTATGCTGAACAGACCCTAGAACATGTCTTGTAAAACTGTCCTCTCCTAGTGGAGCTGGAAAACAAAACAAAATGTGGCCCTATCCTTTAGACCTGACAACTAAGATTTGGAGAAACCTGCTGTTCATGACATGTGTGAGAGCACAGATTTATGTAACCAGCATCTCTTTCACGCAGAAGTGATGTGGTTACAGAAAAGACACATTCAACTTTTCACACTGAGGAATGAAGTAAAGCAGTTACTGCAAGAACAAAAATAAGCTCTGGTAGGGCCTTTGTCAGATGAGTAATAGATAGCAGACATATTTGGCATCTATAATGAACGTAACATTTTTTTTCAAGGGACTTGTACTTAGTAATTTTACACTTAGAAATAACATAGATGTATTTAAAGAAGAAGTTAGCTGTCAGGGGTAGTCACATTGAAGTGGAAGAAAGCGTTTCCTACTTTGAGATAGATTGTTGTTTCTACCAATTTAAATCAGAAAGTGATATTCAGCATAATAAGTCAGCATTCAAAGTCTAGCAATTGTTTCCTTAAAATGAGGATCCTTGTACAGGCAGCTTGTATATGAATTATCCCTGGAAGATATCAGATCATCCACTGTCATTGACCAAGGGTCCATGTGTTTGTGAGAATGAGTGGACAGAGGTCAAGGTCATGAAAATAGCAGTGGACTAGACTGGACAGAACACCCACTGGACAGTGACTGTCAGGTCAGCCAGTTAGCCAACACCCACTGGACAGTGACTGTCGGGTCAGCCAGTTAGCCAACACCCACTGAACAGTGACTGTCGGGTCAGCCAGTTAGCCCAACACCCACTGGACAGTGACTGTCGGGTCAGCCAGTTAGCCAACACCCACTGGACAGTGACTGTCAGGTCAGCCAGTTAGCCAACACCCACTGGACAGTGACTGTCGGGTCAGCCAGTTAGCCAACACCCACTGAACAGTGACTGTCGGGTCAGCCAGTTAGCCAACACCCACTGGACAGTGACTGTCGGGTCAGCCAGTTAGCCAACACCCACTGGACAGTGACTGTCAGGTCAGCCAGTTAGCCAACACCCACTGGACAGTGACTGTCGGGTCAGCCAGTTAGCCAACACCCACTGGACAGTGACAGTCATGTCAACTCAACCAGTTAGCCAACACCCACTGGACAGTGACTGTCGGGTCAGCAAGTTAGCCAACACTCACTGGACAGTGACTGTTGGGTCAGCCAGTTAGCCAACACCCACTGGACAGTGACTGTCTGGTCAGCCAGTTAGCCAACACCCTCTGGACAGTGACTGTCAGGTCAGCCAGTTAGCCAGCACCCATTGGACAGTGACTGTCGGGTCAGCCAGTTAGCCAACACCCACTGGACAGTGACAGTCATGTCAACTCAACCAGTTAGCCAACACTCACTGGACAGTGACTGTCGGGTCAGCCAGTTAGCCAACACTCACTGGACAGTGACTGTCGGGTCAGCCAGTTAGCCAACACTCACTGGACAGTGACTGTCGGGTCAGCCAGTTAGCCAACACCCACTGGACAGTGACTGTCGGGTCAGCCAGTTCGCCAAGACCCACTGGACAGTGACTGTCGGGTCAGCCAGTTAGCCAATACTCACTGGACAGTGACTGTCGGGTCAGCCAGTTAGCCAACACTCACTGGACAGTGACTGTTGGGTCAGCCAGTTAGCCAACACTCACTGGACAGTGACTGTCGGGTCAGCCAGTTAGCCAACACTCACTGGACAGTGACTGTCGGGTCAGCCAGTTAGCCAACACCCCACTGGACAGTGACTGTCGCGGTCAGCCAGTTAGCCAACACCCACTGGACAGTGACTGTTGGGTCAGCCCAGTTAGCCAACACCCCACTGGACAGTGACTGTCTGGTCAGCCAGTTAGCCAACACTCACTGGACAGTGACTGTCGGGTCAGCCAGTTAGCCAACACCCACTGGACAGTGACTGTCTGGTCAGCCAGTTAGCCAACACTCACTGGACAGTGACTGTCGGGTCAGCCAGTTAGCCAACACCCACTGGACAGTGACTGTCTGGTCAGCCAGTTAGCCAACACACACTGGACAGTGACTGTCGGGTCAGCCAGTTAGCCAACACTCACTGGACAGTGACTTTTGGGTCAGCCAGTTAGCCAACACTCACTGGACAGTGACTGTCAGGTCAGCCAGTTAGCCAACACTCACTGGACAGTGACTGTCGGGTCAGCCAGTTAGCCAAGCTTGATATGTGACTACAACTGGACTTGGCACAGGTATATAGAGGAATTTAGGGGAGCCAGACTTTAGGACAGGGTGGGTCTCAGTGACACAGTTGTAGCAGGAGCAGGAACTGTGGGGGGTGACCACCAAGCCCGACTGTTACATGAAACCCTGGATCCCAGGAAAGAGGATGACCATTCTAGAGGATCCCCAAGTTTTTAAAGGGTTAGAAGAGAAAAAGTTGGTAAGAAAAAACAAACAATTTATGTTAACTTTACAAAATCGATCACAATAAACAAACAAAGGATGTTGCGGCGATTAGCCTTTATCAGCACATAAAGAACAATACAGTACACATACACAAATATGCTCTAACTATGGTGACTACATGGGACTAATGTACACAATAAATGATACTCATCTGTGTCCCTGGCGAAAAACTTCCTTCCTTCAAGAGGATGTCAAGGACAGGTACTGGCCTATTTATCACGAACTGCTAACAAACAAATACAGACAGGCAGGCAGGCCGGCAGACAGGCATGCTGATAGATACATGGGTAGATATATAAAGATATATATATAGATAGATAGATAGATTGTGGATGTTGAGGTGAATGCATGAGTGTGGTGGGATAGATGGGCGGGTAGACAAATAGACAGAATGATGGATGGCTATACCCGTGGATGGATGGAAAGTATAATGGATGGATGGGTCGGCCTATATGTGAGCCAGTATATGAAATCAGGTAAAAACAAGGGTCTCAAGACACATCCTGGATACCATTGCCAGTTAGGTCCTGCAGCTCGACACATCCTGGATACCAATCCAGTTAGGCCCTGCAGCTGGACACATCCTGGATACCATTGCCAGTTAAGCCCTGCAGCTGGACACATCCTGGATACCATTGCCAGTTAAGCCCTGCAGCTGGACACATCCTGGTGACCATGCCAGTTAGGCCCTGCAGCTGGACACATCCTGGATACCATTGCCAGTTAAGCCCTGCAGCTGGACACATCCTGGATACCATTGCCAGTTAAGCCCTGCAGCTGGACACATCCTGGATACCAATCCAGTTAGGTCCTGCAGCTGGACACATCCTGGATACCATTGCCAGTTAGGCCCTGCAGCTGGACACATCCTGGATACCAATCCAGTTAGGTCCTGCAGCTCGACACATCCTGGATACCATGCCAGTTAAATCCTGCAGCTGGACACATCCTGGATACCATTGCCAGTTAGGTCCTGCAGCTGGACACGTCACCATGACAGTGAAACACTGATGCTTAAACACAAAAATCTTTCAGGTGGCAAGGATCACTAGGTGTTCCTTGAATGTGAATTAATGTGATGAAAGTATCAGTCACTAGATTAACCCTGAATGTGAATGAACATAACAAAAGTATCAATCACTAGATTATCCTTGAATGTGAATGAACATGATAAAAGTATCACTAGACAATCCTTGAGTGTGATTGTGCATTATACAAGTGTCAATCACTAGATGATCATTGAATGTGAATGAACATGATTAAAGTATTAATTTGGTAGATGATCCTTGAATTTGAGTGAACCTGATAAAAGTATCAATCACCAGATGATCATTTAATGTGATTTTAAAAATAAATATATCAGTCTCTTGATTATCCGTAAGTTTGAATGAACATGATAAAAGTATCAGTCACTAGATAATCCTGGAATGTGAATGAACATAATAAATGAATTACTAGATGATCCCTGAATGTATATTAACATGATAAAAGTGGACAGTAACTGTTGTGATTTGTACATGCCGTAATTGTTGTGATATGTACATGCCGTAATTGTTGTGATTTGTACATGCCGTAATTGTTGTGATTTGTTAATTGTTGTGATTTGTACATGCCGTAATTGTTGTGATTTGTACATGCCATAATTGTTGTGATTTGTACATGCCATAATTGTTGTGATTTGTACATGCCGTAATTGTTGTGATTTGTACATGCCGTAATTGTTGTGATTTGTACATGCCATAATTGTTGTGATATGTATACATGCCGTAATTGTGATTTGTACAGGTGATAACTAATTGGTGGTGGATACAGGTGATGATGATATTATTATTCCAAACGTTTATTTTTAAATCTTTGTCTCCACAGAGTTGACAAGAACAAACCGGGCCGTGCATAGTAAGTTATCAGTCGTGTTGGCAGTCTACACAAAATACAATACATTAGCAGTTCAGTCACAGTAAGTTAGCAGGCTGTATATGGTAAGTTATGTTAGCAGTCTGTATACTGTGAATTATGATAGCAGTCTCTGTACAGTGAGTATGTTAGCAGTCAATTTACAATACATTAGCAGTTTAGTCACAGTAAGTTGAGATTTCAGACTATATACAGTAAGTTAAGTTAGCGGTCGATTTAAAGTAAGTTATAACTGAACATTAAGTTAACAGTCCAGCCACAGTAAGTTAAGTTAGTAGTCTGTACACAGTAAGTTGTCTACACACAGTTACAGTAAGTGAAGTTGGCAGTCTATACACATTAAGTGAAGTTAGCAGTCTATATACACATCTCAGTATCCTTCCAATTCCTGGTGCTTCTAGGCTTGCAGTCTTGCTCAAAAAAAGAGCACAGGCGAGATGGTGGATCTCTGTGGCAGTCATGGGGCCAAACTGCATGGTTCTGAGGTCCATGAGCCCAGTGGAAGAGCAACCCAACATGAATACAGAACAGCTGCAACCCAATTTGCCAGCCATGGACTGACCTCCTCCTTCAGTGCAGTTGTCAAGATTTTGTATCTTACTCTGTTATAAACATCCTCGAGGGCCATCTCTGCCAGGTCTACATTGCTTAAAGCCTTCATGTGGCCATACCTGACCCCATCAGGCTCTAGTGCAGTGTCTTTTGCCTTTTTCAAAATGTGATTGATATCTTTTATTTGTACCATGTCTTCATAATGCATATTCTTCAAGGTGGCAGCTAACTCTATTCTAACTGCATCCCTGATGTCTACATCATTATGATCTGTCTGAGCTATAAACCTATGGAGAAAAGCCTCCCCTTCCTCTTGATGTCTGTTGTCACACACACACCATCGTCTCTACAAATTGTTCCGACTGTCATAGGCCGATATTTTTTGCATTTGCTTTTGCAGTTTCCAGAATGTCCCCAATGTTTTATTGCCTCCCATTTCATTCACAAAATTTTCCAACGTGGCTTTTGTGGCCAGTGCAGCACAGTGCTTGAAAACCTCCACCGTATCTTTTTTCACATTTTTCGCCATCTTAACTTCTTTTTGTGAACTTGAGAGTGTCTGTTGTACTTGCTTTACTGCGGCTCTCTTTGACTTCCACATGTTCTCCTTCTGGAGTCCACCATGGGGGCTGTAGAAAATTAGTTCTGGCAGTACTGTTGTATGCTCCCTGTCTGAGGTGTCCAAGTAGGTTGTTGGTCCACTTTTACGGAAGGTCGGAATGCCTTAACTGTACTGGGTTTCGAAATTAGGACTGGAACGAGAGCTTGTCTTTAAGATGAACTGTTTGTACTAAGTTAATGAGAGCTTGTCTTTAAGGTTAATGGTTTTTACAAAATTAATTCCGTTTACCACCATAAAATGGGTTTGTTTTCTACATAAATATGTTGCAGCCTGCTCTTGTGATGCAGCCAAGAAAACCCATCATGTGATCAACTACCAGCGCACACAGACAGAGATCCTGCAAGCTCTGAGACCAAAGTCAAACTTTCTCCTGTCGAATGTCGTAGACAAACACAGGTTGTCTCCCCTACAGCAGGGAACTGAGGCAGTCGCTGTAGAGACAGAAACCACAGCTCCAAGAGATTACAGGTATGTTATCATAAGGATCCCACAAAAGAACACAGGTATGTTATCATAAGGATCCCACAAAAGAACACAGGTATGTTATCATAAGGATCCCACAAAAGAACACAGTAATGTTATCATAAGGATCCCACAAAAGATTACAGTGACGTTATTATATATGACTCCACAAAGAGATTACAGGTATGTTATCAAATAGGACACCACAAAGAGATTACAGGTATGTTATCAATAGGACACCACAAAGAGATTACAGGTATGTTATTATATAGGACTCCACAAAGAGATTACATGCATGTATTGTATCTGTTGCCAACAAATGTTGTAAATTTGTCATGTGGTTATATCCTCTCCTAATAGATGAATGTATATTGCATTTGTGTCTGTTCCCAACAAATGTAGGTTTGTGATGCCAGAGTTTTTGCCCAATGCAGACTACAGATATCGAGATCGTGTTTTGGAGAAGCTAGAGCGCCAGGATATGCTCAGGCGGAGGGCAGTAATTGACATCCCTGAGTTCTATGTTGGTATGGGCATTGTCAGTGACAGTCAGTCATTCATTCTACATCACATAGTGTTGCTTATCAGAGATTCAATGGCAATTTCAGTAGACAGGTGAAAGTCACACACTGTAGTCAGAAAGTACAGTATCAGTAGATCAGTGACAGTTGCACACACTTGCCAGAAAAGACAGTGTCAGTAGACAGGTTACAACCACACACTGTAGCCAGAAAAGACAGTATCAGTAGACAGGTTACAACCACACACTGTAGCCAGAAAAGACAGTGTCAGTAGACAGGTTACAACCACACACTGTAGCCAGAAAAGACAGTGTCAGTAGACAGGTTACAACCACACACTAGCCAGATAGGACAGTGTCAGTAGACAGGTTACAGTCACACACTGTAGCCAGAAAGGACAGTGTCAGTAGACAGGTTACAACCACACACTAGCCAGATAGGACAGTGTCAGTAGACTGGTTACAACCACACACTGTAGCCAGAAAGGACAGTGTCAGTAGACAGGTTACAGTCACACACTAGCCAGATAGGACAGTGTCAGTAGACAGGTTACAGTCACACACTAGCCAGATAGGACAGTGTCAGTAGACAGGTTACAGTCACACACTGTAGCCAGAAAAGACAGTGTCAGTAGACAGGTTACAACCACACACTGTAGCCAGAAAGGACAGTGTCAGTAGACAGGTTACAGTCACACACTGTAGCCAGAAAAGACAGTGTCAGTAGACAGGTTACAACCACACACTGTAGCCAGAAAAGACAGTGTCAGTAGACAGGTTACAGTCACACACTGTAGCCAGAAAGGACAGTGTCAGTAGACAGGTTACAACCACACACTGTAGCCAGAAAGGACAGTGTCAGTAGACAGGTTAAAACCACACACTGTAGCCAGAAAGGACAGTGTCAGTAGACAGGTTACAGTCACACACTGTAGCCAGAAAAGACAGTATCAGTAGACAGGTTACAACCACACACTGTAGCCAGAAAAGACTGTGTCAGTAGACAGGTTACAACCACACACTGTAGCCAGAAAGGACAGTGTCAGTAGACAGGTTACAACCACACACTGTAGCCAGAGAAGACAGTGTCAGTAGACAGGTTACAGTCACACACTGTAGCCAGAAAGTCTACCTTGATGTATCCTGTCCATGGTCTACCTTGATGTATCCTGTCCATGGTCTACCTTGATGTATCCTGTCCATGGTCAACCTTGATGTATCCTGTCCTTGGTCTACCTTGATGTCTCCTGTCCTTGGTCTACCTTGATGTATCCTGTCCATGGTCTACCTTGATGTGTCCTGTCCATGGTCTACCTTGATGTCTCCTGTCCTTGGGCTGCCATGTAATCTTATGTCCTGTTTTGTTTTCTGTTGTCCAATCCTATCTTTTGTTGTGTTATTCTGTCCTGCCTATCTTGTTTTATCCTGTCTTATTTTATAATTCCATCCTGTCTTATCTTGTGTTATCATACCCTATCTTATTGTGGTTTCTCCTGTTTTTTACTTGTGTTATCCTGCCCTTTCTTATCTTGTGGTATCGTGCCCTATCTTATTTTGTGTTATCTTTTGCTGTCTTATCTTTTGTTATCTTGTCCTAACATCTTATGTTATCCTGTCCTATCTTATCTTGTGTTTTCTTGTCCTGTTTTATCTTGCATTATCATGTCCCTATTTTATCTTTTGTTATCCTATCCTAACTTAATATTGTGTTATCATCCCATATCTTGTTGCCTGTCTTGTCTGCTCCTAATCATTCTGCTCAGAGATATGATATCCTCCACAGGCAGCATTATGGCTGTTTGTGTGTCTGACCCACACGCTCCAGGCAAACGGAACCGCTTTGTGGGCATCTGTATAGACCGCAGCGGACAAGGGCTCCGTGCTCACTTTGTCTTACGCAATGTTGTGGATGGTCTGGGTAAGTGTGGGTAGCAACAAGTTATTCAGGGTGATAGTTGAGGCACTGAGTAAATATGTGTAGCAACAAGTGATACAAGATGATAGTTGAGGGACTGATTAGGTGTATGTAGCAACAAGTGATACAAGATGATAGTTGAGGGACTGATTAGGTGTGTGTAGCAACACATGATACAAGATGATAGTTGAGGGACTGATTAGGTGTGTGTAGCAACAAGTGATACAAGATGATAGTTGAGGAACTGAGTAGATGTATGTAGCAACACATGATACAAGATGATAGTTGAGGGACTGAGTAGATGTATGTAGCAACAAGTGATACAAGATGATAGTTGAGGAACTGAGTAGATGTATGTAGCAACAAGTAATACAAGACGATATTTGAGAGACTGAGTAGATGTGTGTAGCAACAAGTGATACAAGATGATAGTTGAGGCACTGAGTAGATGTATGTAGCAACAAGTGATACAAGATGATAGTTGAGGCACTGAGTAGATGTATGTAGCAACAAGTAATACAAGACGATATTTGAGAGACTGAGTAGATGTATGTAGCAACAAGTGATACAAGATGATAGTTGAGGCACTGAGTAGATGTATGTAGCAACAAGTAATACAAGACGATATTTGAGAGACTGAGTAGATGTGTGTAGCAACAAGTGATACAAGATGATAGTTGAGGCACTGAGTAGATGTATGTAGCAACAAGTGATACAAGACGATATTTGAGAGACTGAGTAGATGTGTGTAGCAACAAGTGATACAAGATGATAGTTGAGAGACTGAGTAGATGTGTGTAGCAACAAGTGATACAAGACGATATTTGAGAGACTGAGTAGATGTGTGTAGCAACAAGTGATACAAGATGATAGTTGAGAGACTGAGTAGATGTGTGTAGCAACAAGTGATACAAGACGATATTTGAGAGACTGAGTAGATGTGTGTAGCAACAAGTGATACAAGATGATAGTTGAGGCACTGAGTAGATGTATGTAGCAACAAGTGATACAAGACGATATTTGAGAGACTGAGTAGATGTATGTAGCAACAAGTGATACAAGATGATAGTTGAGGCACTGAGTAGATGTATGTAGCAACAAGTGATACAAGACGATATTTGAGAGACTGAGTAGATGTATGTAGCAACAAGTGATACAAGATGATAGTTGAGGCACTGAGTAGATGTATGTAGCAACAAGTAATACAAGACGATATTTGAGAGACTGAGTAGATGTGTGTAGCAACAAGTGATACAAGATGATAGTTGAGGCACTGAGTAGATGTATGTAGCAACAAGTGATACAAGACGATATTTGAGAGACTGAGTAGATGTGTGTAGCAACAAGTGATACAAGATGATAGTTGAGGCACTGAGTAGATGTATGTAGCAACAAGTGATACAAGACGATATTTGAGAGACTGAGTAGATGTATGTAGCAACAAGTGATACAAGATGATAGTTGAGGCACTGAGTAGATGTATGTAGCAACAAGTGATACAAGACGATATTTGAGAGACTGAGTAGATGTGTGTAGCAACAAGTGATACAAGATGATAGTTGAGGCACTGAGTAGATGTATGTAGCAACAAGTGATACAAGACGATATTTGAGAGACTGAGTAGATGTGTGTAGCAACAAGTGATACAAGATGATAGTTGAGGCACTGAGTAGATGTGTGTAGCAACAAGTGATACAAGATGATAGTTGAGGCACTGAGTAGATGTGTGTAGCAACAAGTGATACAAGATGATAGTTGAGGCACTGAGTAGATGTGTGTAGCAATGAGTGATACAAGATGAAAGGTGAGGAATTGAGTAGATGTGTGTAGCAATGAGTGATACAAGTTGAGGGTCTGAGTATATTTATGTGACAACAAGTGATACAAAATGATAGTTGAGGGTCTGTGTATAGCAAAAATGTTTGTCTCTGTCTGCCTGTCATGCTTGCTCTCTGTCTGTGGCTGTCATGCTTGCTCTGTCTGTGCTGTCATGCTTGCTCTCTGTCTGTGGCTGTCATGCTTGCTCTCTGTCTGTGGCTGTCATGCTTGCTCTCTGTCTGTGGCTGTCATGCTTGTGTCTGTGGCTGTCATGCTTGTCTCTGTCTGTGGCTGTCATGCTTGCTCTCTGTCTGTGGCTGTCATGCTTGCTTTCTGTCTGCCTGTCATGCTTGTCTCTGTCTACTTGTCATGCTTGTATCTGTGGCTGACAACCATGTGTCTGTGGCTATCATGCTGGTGTGTGGCTGTCTTGTGTCTGTGGTTGTCATGCTTGTATATGTGGCTGTCATGCTTGCTTTCTGTCTGCCTGTCATGCTTGCTCTCTGTCTGTATATATGTCTGTACATATGTATGTGTGTCTGTGTACATGTCAGTCTGTGTTTTTTTGTTTTGTTTTTGTGTGTGTTGGTATTTGTATGTGTGGCTGCATATGTTTCTATGGGTGTGTGTTTGTATATGTGCGGATGTATGTGGCTGCATGTTTCTGTGTGTTGCTTTGTGTGTATTTGTGTGTTCGTCTTTTCGATAATGTGTGTCTGTGTGTGTGCACGTCTGCTTGTGTGTGTGTCTGTGCGAGTATTTATGCGTCTGTGGGTGTGTTATTATGTCTGTGTGTCAGTGTGTGTGTGTGTGGCTGCATGTGTATCTGTGGCTGTGGGCGTCTGTGTGTGTGGCTTTGTTTGTATCTGTGTGAGTCTCTATAGCTGTGTCTATTAAATAATGTCTGCGTGTGTCTGTGTGTGTGTGGCTTCATGGGTATCTGTGGGTGTGTGGCTTCGTGGGTATCTGTGTGTGTGTCTTTTTGATAATGTGTGTGAGTCTGTGCAGGTGTGTCTAAGTGTTTTTGCATCTGTGAATGTATTTGTATGTATGTGTGTGTGTGTGCCATTATGTGTCTGTGTGTGGCTTTGTGTGTATCTAGTGTGTCTCTGTCGGTGTATCTATTATATATTGTCTGCATGTCAGTTTATGTGTCTGCCTTTATGTCTGTGTGTGTATCTGTGTATGTGTGAGTACAGCGTATGTCTATGTTTGTGTATGTGTGTTTCCCTGCCTGCGTGTGTGTATGTGTTTGTGTGTGCGACTGTGACTGCATGTGTGTGTCTGTGTGGGTTTATGTCTGTGTGCATCAGTGTGTGTGTGTTTGTATGGGTCTTTTTGTGCGGCTACGTGTGTGTATGTATGTGTGTGTCTGTGTTTAGCTGTGTGTGTCTATATGTATCTGGGTTTTACGCGTGTGTTCTAGAGCGTATGTCTGTGTGGGTGACTGTGTATGAGTGTGTGTGTGAGTATGTATGTATTTATGTATGTATATATGTATTCATGTATGTATTCATGCATGCATAGTGTGTGCATGTTCGTATTTATGTGGATGTATGTGTGTATTGGGTGCCTATGTGTGTGTGTGAGTGAATGGGTTTGCCTGTGTGTGTGGGTGTCTATGTTCGTGCGCAAGCATGCGGACATATTTTGCCACCCATGCTTTTGTTTTTGACTTAATATTCATAATATGCATATTATTACATGAACATAACATGCTTTATTAATGAAATACAACTGCTGTGTGAAAGATGGGAGTTTGGAAGGGCTGGATGTAAGACAGGCCTGTATGCCTAATTTGTAACCCTTTGAAAATTAAGTTTGTTTGTTCGTTCTGTGGCTGTCATGCTTGCTCTCTGTCTGTGGCTATCATGCTTGTGTCTGTGGCTATCATGCTTGCTCTCTGTCTGTGGCTGTCATGCTTGCGTCTGTGGCTATCATGCTTGCTCTTTGTCTGTGGCTGTCATGCTTGTGTCTGTGGCTGTCATGCTTGCTCTCTGTCTGTGGCTGTCATGCTTGTCTCTGTCTGTGGCTGTCATGCTTGCTTTCTGTCTGTTGCTGTCATGCTTGCTCTCTCTGTGGCTGTCATGCTTGTCTCTGTCTGTGGCTGTCATGCTTGCTCTCTGTTTGTGGCTATCATGCTTGCTCTCTGTCTGTGGCTGGCATGCTTGTGTCTGTCTGTGGCTGTCATGCTTGCTCTCTGTCTGTGGCTGTCATGCTTGTGTCTGTGGCTGTCATGCTTGCTTTCTGTGTGTGGCTGTCATGCTTGCTCTCTGTCTGTAGCTGTCATGTTTGTGTCTGTGACTGTCATGCTTGTGTCTGTGGCTGTCATGCTTGCTCTCTGTCTGTAGCTGTCATGCTTGTGTCTGTGGCTGTCATGCTTGTGTCTGTGGCTGTCATGCTTGTGTCTGTGACTGTCATGCTTGTGTCTGTGACTGTCATGCTTGCTCTCTGTCTGTTGCTGTCATGCTTGTGTCTGTGGCTGTCATGCTTGTGTCTGTCGCTGTCATGCTTGCTCTCTGTCTGTGGCTGTCATGCTTGTCTCTGTCTGTGGCTGTCATGCTTGTGTCTGGGGCTGTCATGCTTTTTCTCTGTCTGTGGCTGTCATGCTTGTGTCTGTGGTGTCATGCTTGTGTCTGTGGCGTCATGCTTGTGTCTGTGGCGTCATGCTTGTCTCTGTCTGTGGCTGTCATGCTTGTCTCTGTCTGCCTGTCATGCTTGTTTCTGTCTGTGGCTGTCATGCTTGCTGTATGTCTGTGGCTGTCATGCTTGCTGTCTGTCTGTGGCTGTCATGCTTGCTCTCTGTCTGTGGCTGTCATGCTTGCTGTCTGTCTGTGGATGTCATGCTTGCTCTTTGTCTTTGGCTATCATGCTTGCTCTCTGTCTGTGGCTGTCATGCTTGCTCTCTGTCCGTGGCTATCATGCTTGCTTTCTGTCTGAGGCTATCATGCTTGCTCTCTGTCTGTGGCTGTCATGCTTGCTCTCTGTCTGTGGCTGTCATGCTTGCTCTCTGTCTGTGGCTGTCATGCTTGTGTCTGTGGCTGTCATACTTGTGTCTATGGCTGTCATTTTTGTGTCTATGGCTGTCATGTTTGTGTCTATGGCTGTCATGCTTGTGTCTGTGGCTGTCATGCTTGCTGTCTGTCTGTGGCTGTCATGCTTGCTGTCTGTCTGTGGCTGTCATGCTTGCTGTCTGTCTGTGGCTGTCATGCTTGCTGTCTGTCTGTGACGTCATGCTTGTCTCTGTCTGTGGCTATCATGCTTGCTCTCTGTCTGTGGCTGTCATGCTTGTCTCTGTCTGTGGCTGTCATGCTTGCTCTCTGTCTGTGGCTGTCATGCTTGTGTCTGTGGCTGTCATGCTTGTCTCTGTCTGCCTGTCATGCTTGTCTCTGTTTGCTGTCATTATTGTGATTTTGGCTGTAATGCTTATGTCTGGGACTGTCATACTTGTCCTGCTTGTAACTGTGGTTGTCATGTTTGTGCCTGTGGCTGTCATACTTTCTACCTGACATTATTGTGCTTGTGGCTATCATGTTTGTGCTTATCTGCTGTCATTACTATGTCTGTGGCTGTCGTGCTTGTGTATGCCGGCCTGTCATTATTGTGTCTGTGGCTAACATGCTTGTGTGTGGCTAACATGCTTGTGTGTGGCTAACATGCTTGTGTGTGGCTGTCTTGTGTCTGTGGCTGTCATGCTTGTGTGTGGCTGTCTTGTGTCTGTGGCTGTCATGCTTGCATATGTGGCTGTCATGCTTTTGTCTGTGGCTGTCATGCTTTTGTCTGTGGCTGTCATGCTTGCATATGTGGCTGTCATGCTTGCATATGTGGCTGTCATGCTTTTGTCTGACTGTGATATTTGTGTCTGGTTGTCACGCTTTAGTGTGCCTGTCTTAGAGAAAGCTTAACTGAGGTCAACCTATTTTTACCACTTTTTGTGTGCCTGTCATGCTTGTGTCCATGACTGTCAGGTTTTCGGTGCCTTTCATGAATGTATTTGTGGCTGTCATGCTTGTGTCTATTTCTCTCATGCTTGCGTCTGGTCTGTGGCTGTCATGTTTGTTTATGGCTGTTGTGCTTATATCTGACTGTGTAACAGGTGTGGAGGTCATGTATAAGATGTACAACCCCACTGTCTTGTCCGTGGAAGTCCTCAAGTTGGAGAAGCGCCTCGATGATCAGCTTTACTATCTCCGAAATTGCCCCTTGGAGTACAGCACATTTGATTTCAACATGGATCCTGTCATCTTACCCCGCGGATCTCAAGTCCCTGTTAACCCCATCAAGGTTGGTGTGTGTTAAAGTCATTGTTCTACAGTAGAGCCTGGCTACAATTGAGTGTGATATTACAGTCACACTTCTTCAGTACAATTTGTCTGGCTACAGTCAAGTGTGACATTGCAGTGACAGTTCTGCAGTACAATTTGTCTGGCTACAGTCAAGTGTGACGTTGCAGTGACAGTTCTGCAGTACAGTTTGTCTGGCTACAGTCAAGTGCAATGTTGCAGTGACAGTTCTGCAGTACAGTTTGTCTGGCTACTGTCAAGTGCGTATTTACAGTTCTGCAGTACAGTTTGTCTGGCTACAGTCAAGTGCAATGTAACTGTCACTATTCTGCGCTACAGTTTGTCTGGCTACCGTCAAGTGCGATGTTACAGTCACAGTTCTGCAGTACAGTTTGTCTGGCTACAGTCAAGTGCGATGTTACAGTCACAGTTCTGCAGTACAGTTTGTCTGGTTACCGTCAAGTTCGATGTTACAGTCACAGTTCTGCAGTACAGTTTGTCTGGCTACTGTCAAGTGCGATGTTACAGTCACAGTTCTGCAGTACAGTTTGTCTGGCTACAGTCAAGTGCGATGTTACAGTCACAGTTCTGCAGTAGTTTGCCTGGCTTCAGTCAAGTGCGATGTTACAGTCACAGTTCTGCAGTACAGTTTGTCTGGCTACAGTCAAGTGCGATGTTACAGTCACTGTTCTGCAGTACAGTTTGTCTGGCTACAGTCAAGTGCGATGTTACAGTCACTGTTCTGCAGTACAGTTTGTCTGGCTACAGTCAAGTGCGATGTTACAGTCACAGTTCTGCAGTACAGTTTGTCTGGCTACAGTCAAGTGCGATGTTACAGTCACTGTTCTGCAGTACAGTTTGTCTGACTACTGTCAAGTGCGATGTCACAGTTCTGCAGTACAGTTTGTCTGGCTACAGTCAAGTGCGATGTTACAGTCACTGTTCTGCAGTACAGTTTGTCTGGCTACAGTCAAGTGCGATGTTACAGTCACAGTTCTGCAGTACAGTTTGTCTGGCTACAGTCAAGTGCGATGTTACAGTCACAGTTCTGCAGTACAGTTTGTCTGGCTACAGTCAAGTGCGATGTTACAGTCACTGTTCTGCAGTACAGTTTGTCTGGCTACAGTCAAGTGCGATGTTACAGTCACTGTTCTGCAGTACAGTTTGTCTGACTACTGTCAAGTGCAACAGTCACAGTTCTGCAGTAGTTTTTGTTCTGGCTACCGTCAAGTGCAATGTTACAGTCACTGTTCTGCAGTACAGTTTGTTTGGCTACAGTCAAGTGCGATGTTACAGTCACTGTTCTGCAGTACAGTTTGTCTGGCTACAGTCAAGTGCGATGTTACAGTCACAGTTCTGCGGTACGGTTTGTCTGGCTACCGTCAAGTGCGATGTTACAGTCACTGTTCTGCAGTACAGTTTGTCTGGCTACAGTCAAGTGCGATGTTACAGTCACTGTTCTGCAGTACAGTTTGTCTGGCTACAGTCAAGTGCGATGTTACAGTCACTGTTCTGCAGTACAGTTTGTCTGGCTACAGTCAAGTGCGATGTTGCAGTCACTGTTCTGCAGTACAGTTTGTCTGGCTACTGTCAAGTGCGATGTTACAGTCACTGTTCTGCAGTACAGTTTGTCTGGCTACTGTCAAGTGCGATGTTACAGTCACTGTTCTGCAGTACAGTTTGTCTGGCTACCGTCAAGTGCGATGTTACAGTCACAGTTCTGCAGTACAGTTTGTCTGGCTACAGTCAAGTGCGATGTTACAGTCACTGTTCTGCAGTACAGTTTGTCTGGCTACAGTCAAGTGCGATGTTACAGTCACAGTTTTGCAGTACAGTTTGCCTGTCTACCGTCAATTGCGATGTTACAGTCACTGTTCTGCAGTACAGTTTGTCTGGCTACAGTCAAGTGCGATGTCACTGTTCTGCAGTACAGTTTCTCTGGCTACTGTCAAGTGGGATGTTACAGTCACAGTTCTGCAGTACAGTTTGTCTGGCTACAGTCAAGTGCAATGTTACAGTCACTGTTCTGCAGTACAGTTTGTCTGGCTACAGTCAAGTGCGATGTTACAGTCACTGTTCTGCAGTACAGTTTGTCTGGCTACAGTCAAGTGCGATGTTACAGTCACTGTTCTGCAGTACAGTTTGTCTGGCTACAGTCAAGTGCGATGTTACAGTCACAGTTCTGCAGTACAGTTTGTCTGGCTACAGTCAAGTGCGATGTTACAGTCACTGTTCTGCAGTACAGTTCGTCTGACTACTGTCAAGTGTGATGTTACAGTCACAGTTCTGCAGTACAGTTTGTCTGGCTACTGTCAAGTGCGATGTTACAGTCACTGTGCTGCGCTACAGTTTGTCAAGCTACCGTCAAGTGCGATGTTACAGTCACAGTTCTGCAGTACAGTTTGTCTGGCTACCGTCAAGTGCGATGTTACAGTCACAGTTCTGCAGTACAGTTTGTCTGGCTACAGTTAAGTGCGATGTTACAGTCACTGTTCTGCAGTACAGTTTGTCTGGCTACAGTCAAGTGCGATTTTGCAGTCACTGTTCTGCAGTACAGTTTGTCTGACTACTGTCAAGTGTGATGTCACAGTTCTGCGGTACAGTTTGTCTGGCTACCGTCAAGTGCGATGTTGCAGTCACTGTTCTGCAGTACAGTTTGTCTGGCTACTGTCAAGTGTGATGTTGCAGTCACTGTTCTGCAGTACAGTTCGTCTGACTACTGTCAAGTGCAATGTCACAGTTCTGCAGTACAGTTGTTCTGGCTACCGTCAAGTGCAATGTTACAGTCACTGTTCTGCAGTACAGTTTGTCTGGCTACTGTCAAGTGCGATGTTACAGTCACTGTTTTGCGCTACAGTTTGTCTGGCTACCGTCAAGTGCGATGTTAGTCACAGTTCTGCAGTACAGTTTGTCTGTCTACCGTCAAGTGCGATGTTAGTCACTGTTTTGCGCTACAGTTTGTCTGGCTACTGTCAAGTGCGATGTCACAGTTCTGCAGTACAGTTTGTCTGGCTACAGTCAAGTGCGATGTTACAGTCACTGTTCTGCAGTACAGTTTCTCTGGCTACTGTCAAGTGGGATGTTACAGTCACAGTTCTGCAGGACAGTTTGTCTGGCTACAGTCAAGTGCAATGTTACAGTCACTGTTCTGCAGTACAGTTTGTCTGGCTACAGTCAAGTGCGATGTTACAGTCACTGTTCTGCAGTACAGTTTGTCTGGCTACAGTCAAGTGCGATGTTACAGTCACTGTTCTGCAGTACAGTTTGTCTGGCTACAGTCAAGTGCGATGTTACAGTCACAGTTCTGCAGTACAGTTTGTCTGGCTACCGTCAAGTGCGATGTTACAGTCACTGTTCTGCAGTACAGTTCGTCTGACTACTGTCAAGTGTGATGTTACAGTCACTGTGCTGCGCTACAGTTTGTCAAGCTACCGTCAAGTGCGATGTTACAGTCACAGTTCTGCAGTACAGTTTGTCTGGCTACCGTCAAGTGCGATGTTACAGTCACAGTTCTGCGGTACAGTTTGTCTGGCTACAGTTAAGTGCGATGTTACAGTCACTGTTCTGCAGTACAGTTTGTCTGGCTACAGTCAAGTGCGATTTTGCAGTCACTGTTCTGCAGTACAGTTTGTCTGACTACTGTCAAGTGTGATGTCACAGTTCTGCGGTACAGTTTGTCTGGCTACCGTCAAGTGCGATGTTGCAGTCACTGTTCTGCGGTACAGTTTGTCTGGCTACTGTCAAGTGTGATGTTGCAGTCACTGTTCTGCAGTACAGTTCGTCTGACTACTGTCAAGTGCAATGTCACAGTTCTGCAGTACAGTTGTTCTGGCTACCGTCAAGTGCAATGTTACAGTCACTGTTCTGCAGTACAGTTTGTCTGGCTACTGTCAAGTGCGATGTTACAGTCACTGTTTTGCGCTACAGTTTGTCTGGCTACCGTCAAGTGCGATGTTAGTCACAGTTCTGCAGTACAGTTTGTCTGTCTACCGTCAAGTGCGATGTTAGTCACTGTTTTGCGCTACAGTTTGTCTGGCTACTGTCAAGTGCGATGTTACAGTCACTGTTTTGCGCTACAGTTTGTCTGGCTACTGTCAAGTGTGATGTTACAGTCACTATTTTGCGCTACAGTTTGTCTGGCTACCGTCAAGTGCGATGTTACAGTCACTGTTCTGCAGTACAGTTTGTCTGGCTACAGTCATGTGCAATGTTACAGTCACTGTTCTGCAGGACAGTTTGTTTGGCTACAGTCAAGTGCAATTTTACAGTCACTGTTCTGCAGGACAGTTTGCTCTGGCTGCAGTCAAGTGCAATGTTACAGTCACAGTTCTGCAGGACAGTTTGTCTGGCTACAGTCAAGTGCGATGTTACAGTCACAGTTCTGCAGGACAGTTTGCTCTGGCTGCTGTCAAGTGCAATGTTACAGTCACAGTTCTGCAGGACAGTTTGGTCTGGCTACTGTCAAGTGCAATGTTACAGTCACCGTTCTGTAGTACAGTTTAAACACCACCCCCATGTTTCCCATAGAACTGTGAACAATTTTCTGTAAGGATCTGGTTGGGGAACCCTAACTGTAAAGTTCTTAAATAGTGTATTAGTGACTTGTTTAGATTCTGTGGCTGGTAACGCAATCACCTCTGCCCACATTTTACAGGTATCAGTAACAGTTAGAAGTTAGAGTTTATTTTATGGGTTCTAGACAGGGGTCCTACAATAGCTACTACAAATCTTTTTCCATAAATTGTACTTGGGTTTTTTAGGTAGAAGAAACAAGTTGACAGTGCTTGTGTACACATTTGCCAGACCTACAGTGCAACAGGTTACCTTTCATGGAAAAATCCCCTGACTGGAAAATCTTATGCGCTTTGGGTAATTTTGCATAACAGGGTTTGAGCTGCAAGGGACAAGAAGAATACATGAGGAAATTCACAGAATCCAGGTCAGAAAAGTGATAATGGCTGCAGGCTTCTTGAGCTAAATGATCAACATATTCAGAACTAACTCTTTTTGTTTCCAGCACCGGCAGTCTCATATGATATATATGTGGTGTCAATGGAACCATCTTAAATGTGGAAGTAAAACAGATTATATGCTAACCAGAAGAAACATGAAAAGAGTGGTAATGATGCAAGAGCATTCCTAAACCTATCTACAGACACTGATCACCTATCTACAGACACGGATCACCTATCTACAGACACTGATCACCTATCTACAGACACTGATCACCTATCTACAGACACTGATCACCTATCTATAGACACTGATCACCTATCTATAGACACTGATCACCTTTCTACAGACACTGATCACCTTTCTACAGACACGGATCACCTATCTACAGACACTGATCACCTATCTACAGACACGGATCACCTATCTATCTACAGACACTGATCACCTATCTATCTACAGACACAGATCACCTATCTACAGACACAGATCACAAGGCAGTCATGCTGGGGAGCATATTCAACCACAAAAGAAATGTACAAAAATTGATAACTTAAGGGATGCTAACACACAAGAAGCATACCTTCAAACAATTACTGATGATTATACCAGGCTTACTGAAGAAACCAAATCAGTAGAGAAGGAATGAGGAATGCTTAAAAGATCAGATTTAGAAGAATCAAGAGAAACATGCAGAATGGAAGAGAAGCTCAAGGCCAATAATAACCCACTTGCAGAATGATGAAGTTAAAACAGCAGTGAGGGAGGAGAAATGTAGATACCAGGTGTGAGTGAAAAGTAAAAAATCAAAATGATCTTGAAGAATACAGAGTGGCAAGAATGATAATCAGAGATGTCAGAAACATCTGACAGAATTACAGCGAATGTTAAATGTTGACCAAAAAAGTCTTCAGAAAACATTTAAAAGCAAATGAAAGTTATGAGAGGTAGGAATGAACAATATGACCCAACAGAAATGATAGCTGACAAGATGGGAGTCCCCTTACATGAACCACAGAAGGTCAAAGAGAGAGATGGCATCAACATTTCAATGATCTACTTACAATCAGAGGAACAATCCATAATACAAGAAAAGAAAAGCTACATAAACAAAAATGTTGAACAAAGTATAACACTTGCAGAAATAAAAAAAGCTGTAAAAGAGGCACCTTCCGAAAAAGCAGCAAGCCCTGATGATATACCTGCTAAACTTCTCAAAGCAGCATTGAAAGAATGGTAGAAATCAATAAAGAACACGTCGTATTCGTATAGACCAAGAGAAAATTTTTGATCGAATTGATAGGGATAAATTAAGGTACTACAGAGTAAATGAACATCTTATTATATTATGCAAGATTTTATAGGTGAACAGTCAATGCACAGTTAGAACAAATACAGGACTGACAGAAAAGTTCTACACTAGATCTGGGGTGAGATAGGGGCGTGTTCTATCACCACTACTGTTCATCACATACATCAACAACATTTGCAAATCAGCAAACATCAACGAAGGGGACAACATCAGTGAATTACTAAATGAATTGCTTTTCGCCGATGACCAGCCAGTCATAGCATTAACAGCAGTACAACTACAAGATAATATTTATTGACCATACTCAGAATGTGACAACTTTGATATGAAGATCAGTGTAAACAAAGAGGCTGACTGCGTAGAACATAGACCGCAGAAAGTACTTTTTACTGAAAAGTACTTTATACAAAGCGAACAGAAGGGCCCGTTCCAGAGGTCTCGTGCTGCCCTGGCGCTGTGAGGCATTCCAGGAGTAAAGAAAACAAATAAGAATGTTTAAGCATACTGTCCTGAGTCTTATATCTCCTGGAATGGAATTTTAAGGGCTGCCAGACCCCTGACTTTTTATTGTTGTAATGTTTTTAGCCCAGGTCTGTACTGCAGCGCCAGTGACTGATGCTTGAGCTTCTGCAAGGTAAACTAACAGAATCCCAGCATCATTGGGATAAATTGGATCACTCGCAACCACATACGAAATCTTCACGATAACATACTGTTACTTGACATCTCATTAACCTTTGATACGGGTAGAATGATGACAGCTGGAGTCACTGGTGGAGTCCAGTGGCATAGGAAAAGAGCTTATTAGAAGCAGTGTGGGTTTGGACCTGAATATTATCCATGGTGACGGGAAGGCGTGCATAGTAATTTGTTAAGCCATCACAGCCTGCATTTTAGATTAGGGTGCCTACATCTCTTAACGTCAACTGTCTTATGTTAGTCTGTGCTTTACATGAAAGATTGTTTTAGGTGTTCGGTTTAGTGTGTTTTTTTATAGATTGTCTGTCACAGGCCTAATCAACAAGCCACATACTATCAAGGTAGATCAGAGGTCTTTTTCAAGTATAAAGTTTTAAAGCTAATTGGTTCAAGAACTTTGTACTACTCTTAACACTAGCTGTCAATGGCTAGTAAAAGAGATAGTTATTTGCTTATCCTTTACAGGAGGTTGCAGAACCAACTCCGCATTTTTAGGCTATTGTGGCTTTTCTGGCAAATTTTACGTTCACTAGTTTGCCATTGCTCACTGTACGGTCAGCTCTCAGTACCACTATCGAAACCAATGCAAGACAAACGGTCTGCAGCTGGAATCAAACCGGCCTGTAAATGTTATGTGTGGACTTATCATGCCAGTAGGTATGATGTGTGAACTTATCATGCCAGTAGGTGTAATATGTGGAATTATGCTTGTAGGTGGGATATGTGGACTTATCAACCTGGTAATTGTGATGTGTGGACTTATAATTCCGGTAGATGTGGTGTGCGGCCTTATCATGCCGGTAGGTGTGATGTGTGGACTCAGCAGATCAGGACGTGTTGACCATTCTGTCTTGCTGCTTGCCTACACTCTGTATACAGATTTCATGTCTTGACCAGTTCCCTGCTGCTGCTTGTGTACACAAAATCTTATGTTTGCACCTGTCTGCAGGTGAAGCTGAACCCCAAGCCCTGGGAGTATCGCTGGGAGCGGTTCAATTTGAAGGGAATTGAACCCATCAGCCTTACACCAAAGATGATTAAAGGAATTGAAAAGGTAAAGGACAGTTGTCAGTCAAGTCTAACATTGACCTTGTAGTTTCAATTCCTTCTTTGACCTTGTAGTTTTACCTCCAACATGGACCTTGTAGTTTTACCTCCAGCATTGACCTTGTAGTTTTACCTCCAGCATGGACCTTGTAGTTTTACCTCCAGCATTGACCTTGTAGTTTTACCTCCAGCATGGACCTTGTAGTTTTACCTCCAGCATTGACCTTGTAGTTTTACCTACAGCATTGACCTTGTAGTTTTACCTACAACATTGACCTTGTAATTTTACCTCCAGCATGGACCTTGTAGTTTTACCTCCAGCAGTGACCTTGTAGTTTTACTTTTACCTCCAGCATGGACCTTGTAGTTTTACCTCCAGCATTGACCTTGTAGTTTTACCTACAACATTGACCTTGTAGTTTTACCTCCAGCATTGACCTTGTAGTTTTACCTACAACATTGACCTTGTAGTTATACCTACAACATTGACCTTATAGTTTTACCTACAACATTGACCTTGTCATTTTAGCTCCAGCATTGACCTTGTAGTTTTACCTCCAGCATGGACCTTGTAGTTTTACCTACAACATTGACCTTGTAGTTTTACATACAACATTGACCTTGTCGTTTTAGCTCCAGCATTGACCTTGTAGTTTTACCTACAACATTGACCTTGTCGTTTTACCTCCAGCATTGACCTTGTAGTTTTACCTCCAGCATGGACCTTGTAGTTTTACCTACAACATTGACCTTGTCGTTTTAGCTCTAGCATTGACCTTGTAGTTTTACCTACAACATTGACCTTGTAGTTTTACCTCCAGCATGGACCTTGTAGTTTTACCTCCAGCATTGACCTTGTGGTTGTATCTTGGGTTCTATGTTATCTTGTATTGTACATTAATTTGTGTTCAGTTAATCTTGTACTGTATGTTACATCTTATGTTGTATACTGTTTTATGTTACTTGTCATCCTAACACTGTGGTTGCATACACATTATTCTATCACTACTTGGACACAACAGAGCACTACACTCTGCTTTAATTCAGACACCCCGAGGATCTTCAATGACAAGCCAAGATTAGTCTGCAGATGAGAGAGACCACAATCTGCAACCTTACAGAAAAACTCATCAGAAGCTGTCTCCTGCCTGTCTCTGTCTCCTGTCTGTCTCCGTCGCCTGCCTGTCTCAACAGCACTTTTTTGGGGATTATGGAATACTCCTGCACTACAAGCAGATCATGTCCATTTGTTGTCCAGGCCTCATCGGTCAGTTTCCCTAGTGGTTCTTTCCAGATTAGGGAAGCATAAACGTGAGAATCACAAAATGTAATTTATACAATAAACTGTAAAAGATGTAACGAAGCATATATTGGAAAAAACCTGCAGTAAGCAAGCTAATCGTTTCCATGAACATTTCTCACATATTGAAAATAAGGCATTCAGTCCAATCCCTCTTCATTTAAATAACTATGACCAATGAGGCAAAGGTGATTTTTGTCACCACCATCAAATCTTGCTCTGGTGATGAAAGCATGCGTTTTTCTTTGAAAAATCGCCTCATCCATGGTCTAGGTGTTCTAATCCCAGCAAGTTTCACTGTTCAGCATGCCTTCATCTAAACAGTTTTAGTATTCTTACTTTTATTTTATTCTATGTAATATTACCATTTATGGATCATTGGTTTTTTTTTTTAAAAATACTTTGATCCCACTATCACTGTAAATGATCAAAGGCCAAAAGTAGTCAATATATTCATCTATCTTGGCAGTACCCTATCTCAGAGAGTCAACATCGATAATGAGATCAATGCTAGAATCTCAAAGAAAAGCAGCAGTTTTGGCAGAGTTTATACCAGCGTCTGCAATAGAAGTGGTATCTCCTAAATAAGCTAAAGGTTTACAAAGCTGTAATTCTTTCAGTACTCCTCTACGCTTGCCAAATGTAGACTGTATCAGCGCTATGCTAAAACGCTGAATCAGTTTCATATAACTTGTCTCAGAAAGCTGCTCAAAATCAGATGGCAAGATAGATCTCAAATACTGGGGTTACTGGGCAGACCTGCTTGACATCCACACGATCCTGAAGAATTATCAGCTGTGTTGGCTGGTCACCTAGTCCGCATGCCAGAATATGGCCTCCAAAGGGAGCTCCAGCAAGGGAAGAAGTCTTTGAGAGGACAGAAAAAGCCATATACGGACACTCTCAAAACAGCTGTCAGTTCTTTAGGCATCAAATTAGCGATGTGGGAGGCTGCTGCCCAGGACTGTTCTGGATGGCGTTCATCTCTTAGGCATGGTGCATCAGCCTGCCAGGCAGCTGATTTTGTTCAGGCAGAGAAACGGAGACAGACTAGAAAGAACCGCATTGCTAATCCAACACTTATTGCGGCTTCCACCTGGTGGCCGCACTGCTCAAGAACTTTTCGGGCTCATATTGGACTAATCATTCACCTTCGTACTCACAATCATTGATCATTGCTACTTTAGATGAACGTGGTCTTCATCACTCAGTGGACGAACAACAACTATTATATGTTATCACTACTATTATATGTTATCACTACTATTATGTGTTATCACTACTATTATGTGTTATCACTACTATTATATGTTATCACAACTATTATATGTTATCACTACTATTATATGTTATCACTACTATTATATGTTATCACAACTATTATATGTTATCACTACTATTATATGTTATCACTACTATTATATGTTATCACTACTATTATGTGTTATCACTACTATTATGTGTTATCACTACTATTATATGTTATCACTACTATTATATGTTATCACTACTATTATATGTTATCACTACTATTATATGTTATCACTACTATTATATGTTATCACTACTATTATATGTTATCACTACTATTATATGTTATCACAACTATTATATGTTATCACAACTATTATATGTTATCACTACTATTATATGTTATTACTACTATTATATGTTATCACTACTATTATATGTTATCACTACTATTATATGTTATCACTACTATTATGTGTTATCACTACTATTATTTTATTACTGTTTTCACTTCTTAATTTATTTTATTGTATTAATTCAGCATTTCCTTTGCCTTTATCTTGTGTTATATGTTTTGTCTTGTATACTATTATGATTTGTGTTCTACCTTGTGTTGTATGTTATCATATATGTTATCTTGTATGACCTCATATTGTAAATGACCTTGTGTTGTATGTTATCATATATGTTATCTTGTATGACCCCGTATTGTAAATGACCTTGTGTTGTATGGTGACTTGTGTACAGAGTGCTGAACCCTGGAGGCAGAATGATCTGATGATGATGTACCGCAGTCAAGTCCATGAGGAGGAAGAGACGGAGATCATGGCTGAAGTCTACAAGGAAAAGCACAGGATAGACTCACAGAAGAAGACCAGCAGAGCTGCACAGAGAAAGAATAAATAGAAGATGATTACTGATGTCATTTGTTATGTTTCTGTAAGACAGATGCCGAGAGGATGGTCATTAAAACTGTCATTTGTCCCCTTGAGTGGAAGAGATATATTGTCATTTGTCCCCTTGAGTGGAAGAGATAAATTGTCATTTGTCCCCTTGAGTGGAAGAGACAAATTGTCATTTGTCCCCTTGAGTGGAAGAGATGAACTGTCGTATCATGAGGGGGGGGGGATTGTATTTAGGAAGATAAACTGCCAGTTTGTTGTGTGCAGAAGATCCAAATTGACAGGATATTGTTGCCCTAGTGTGTAGACAAAACAGTATTTATTTAGCTGTTGTGTGGGGACAAGACTATTGTTCAGCCATTGTGTGTATGGATGAGACAGTGTTGTCTCGGCTATTGTGTGTATGGATGAGACAGTGTTGTCTCGGCTATTGTGTGTATGGATGAGACAGTTTTGTCTCGGCTATTGTGTGTATGGATGAGACAGTGTTGTCTCGGCTATTGTGTGCATGGATGAGACAGTGTTGTCTCGGCTATTGTGTGTATGGATGATACAGGGTTGTCTCAGCTATTGTGTGTATGGATGAGACAGTGTTGTCTCGGCTGTTGTATTTGTGTATGGACAATACAGTGTTGCCTCAGCCATTGTGTGTATGGATGAGACAGTGTTGTCTCGGCTATTGTGTGTATGGATGAGACAGTGTTGCCTCGGCCATTATTGTGTGTTTGGATGAGATAGTGTTCTGTCTCGGAAAATGTTGTCTCAGCCATTGTGTGTGGACAAGACAGTGTTGTTTCAAGCCATTGTGTCTGGGGAAGACAGTGTTTGTTTCAGCCATTGTGTGTAGAAATGAGATAAAGGTAAACCTAACACAGAGAGAAAATGAGATAGTGATAAACTTAACAACACACAGAAGAAATGAGGCAAAGTTAAACTTACTAACACCGAAGAAATGAGATAATGGTCAACTTCACAACCATTGAAATTAGATGTGGACAAAACGACACACAGAAGAAATGAGCTTTGTGTCTAGGGGAAGACAGAAATTAAAGGTTAAACCTAACATTGTGTGTAGAAAATGAGATAAAGGTAAAAGTAAACTAAAACACAGAGAGAAATGAGATAAAGGTAAACCTAGCAACACACAGAAGAAATGAGGCAAAGTTAAACTTACTAACACAGAAGAAATGAGATAATGGTCAACTTCACAACACACACAAAAAATGAGGTAAAAGTAAACACCTAACGACACACAGAAGAAATGAGCGAAATGAGATAAAGGTAAACCTAACAACACACAGAAGAAATGAGCTTAAGGTGAACCTAGCAACACAGCAGAAATAAGATAAAGGTAAACCTAACAACACACAGAAGAACTGAGATAAAGGTAAACCACACACAAATGAGATAGAAGGTAAACCTGACACACAGGTAAATGAGCTTAAGGTGAACCTAGCAACACAGCAGAAATAAGATAAAGGTAAACCTAACAACACACAGAAGAACTGAGATAAAGGTAAAGTAAACAACACACAGAAGAAATGAGATAAAGGTAAACCTAACAACACACAGAAGAACTGAGATAAAGGTAAAGTAAACAACACACAGAAGAAATGAGATAAAGGTAAACCTAGCAACACACAGAAGAAATGAGATAAAAGTAAAGTAAACAACACACAGAAGAAATGAGCTTAAGGTGAACCTAGCAACACAGCAGAAATAAGATAAAGGTAAACCTAACAACACACAGAAGAAATGAGATAAAGATAAAGTAAACAACACACAGAGGAAATGAGACAAAGGTAAACCTAACAACACACAGAAGAAATGAGATAAAGGTAAAGTAAACAACACACAGAAGAAATGAGATAACGGTAAAGTAAAGAACACAGAAGAAATGAGATAAAGGTAAACCTAACAATACACAGAAATGAAATAAAGGTGAAACTGACACCACACATAAATAAGGTAATGATCAACTTAACAGAGAGAATGTTGAATTCAGAATCGACATCACAACACTTGAGACATGTCGCCATTTTCAGCAGCAGGCAAAGAGTTCCAAATCTGATTGTGTCAGTTACTGTCTGCATATCTGTCTCGCCGTTCCCTTGAGTGTTGAGCATCGGACAGATCCCATGGTAACTCCCCGGAGCCCCATAACACACAGAAGAAATAAGATATGATAACAGTTTAACAACACAGAAGAAATAAGATACGATAAAAGTTTAACAATAAGATACGGTAAAAGTTTAACAACACAGAAGAAATAAGATATGGTAAAAGTTTAACAACACAGAAGAAATAAGATACGGTAAAAGTTTAACAACACAGAAGAAATAAGATACGATAAAAGTTTATCAACACAGAAGAAATAAGATATGGTAAAAGTTTAACAATAAGATACGGTAAAAGTTTAACAACACAGAAGAAATAAGATACGGTAAAAGTTTAACAACACAGAAGAAATAAGATACGGTAAAAGTTTAACAACACAGAAGAAATAAGATATGGTAAAAGTTTAACAACATAGAAGAAATAAGATACGATAAAAGTTTAACAACACAGAAGAAATAAGATATGGTAAAAGTTTAACAATAAGATACGGTAAAAGTTTAACAACACAGAAGAAATAAGATATGGTAAAAGTTTAACAACACAGAAGAAATAAGATACGGTAAAAGTTTAACAACACAGAAGAAATAAGATACGATAAAAGTTCAACAACACAGAAGAAATAAGATACGGTAAAAGTTTAACAACTCAGAAGAAATAAGATACGATAAAAGTTTAACAACACAGAAGAAATAAGATATGGTAAAAGTTTAACAATAAGATACGGTAAAAGTTTAACAACACAGAAGAAATAAGATACGGTAAAAGTTTAACAACACAGAAGAAATAAGATACGGTAAAAGTTTAACAACACAGAAGAAATAAGATAAGGTAAAAGTTTTAACAACACAGAAGAAATAAGATACGGTAAAAGTTTAACAACGCAGAAGAAATAAGATACGGTAAAAGTTTAACAACACAGAAGAAATAAGATATGGTAAAAAGTTTAACAACACAGAAGAAATAAGATACGCTAAAAGTTTAACAACACAGAAGAAATAAGATATGGTAAAAGTTTAACAATAAGATACGGTAAAAGTTTAACAACACAGAAGAAATAAGATATGGTAAAAGTTTAACAACACAGAAGAAATAAGATGCGGTAAAAGTTCAACACAGAAGAAATAAGATACGGTAAATGTTTAACAACACAGAAGAAATAAGATAGGTAAAAGTTTAACAACACAGAAGAAATAAGATACGGTAAAAGTTTAACAACACAGAAGAAATAAGATACGATAAAAGTTTAACAACACAGAAGAAATAAGATATGGTAAAAGTTTAACAATAAGATACGGTAAAAGTTTAACAACACAGAAGAAATAAGATACGGTAAAAGTTTAACAACACAGAAGAAATAAGATACGGTAAAAGTTTAACAACACAGAAGAAATAAGATAAGGTAAAAGTTTAACAACACAGAAGAAATAAGATACGGTAAAAGTTTAACAACGCAGAAGAAATAAGATACGGTAAAAGTTTAACAACACAGAAGAAATAAGATATGGTAAAAGTTTAACAACACAGAAGAAATAAGATACGCTAAAAGTTTAACAACACAGAAGAAATAAGATATGGTAAAAGTTTAACAATAAGATACGGTAAAAGTTTAACAACACAGAAGAAATAAGATATGGTAAAAGTTTAACAACACAGAAGAAATAAGATGCGGTAAAAGTTCAACACAGAAGAAATAAGATACGGTAAATGTTTAACAACACAGAAGAAATAAGATACGGTAAAAGTTTAACAACACAGAAGAAATAAGATACGGTAAAAGTTTAACAACACAGAAGAAATAAGATACGATAAAAGTTTAACAACACAGAAGAAATAAGATATGGTAAAAGTTTAACAATAAGATACGGTAAAAGTTTAACAACACAGAAGAAATAAGATATGGTAAAAGTTTAACAACACAGAAGAAATTCATCTTACTTAGTGGCTACTCTTCTACCTAGAAGTGTAGAGGTTTGTCAAAGAGATCGCCAGACTTCTCAACAGTTTTTTTTTTTTCTGGTATTTTTCATTCCCGTCCTTTGTCAACCAGCGATCGTCGAATGCGCCCGGAACTCCGTATTCAGAAAGAGATAGTTCTGTCTTTACGACTGCCGTGTTAAAAACAGGCAGTCATGTTTGTGCGTTGTTGAAATTGTACTTTAGTTATAAATGATTCACTTACTTGCTTCATTTAATGTAATTAAATGCTCCTATGGAGCAATAAGGTATCTACTTGACTTTCCAACTATTCATCAAAGGATCAGATCTGGAGGGCTCGGGCATATCCAAAAATATGTGCTGATAAGAAACACACCCACTGCATCAAGCGCTTTTTAGTGAAAAGGGCGACAAGCTGAATAGGGGAGAATCATGGCGTATGTATACTCAGTGATTCAATGAGTATGATCCGGAGGTTTCAGGCAGGATCGGTGCGAAGACAATGGCTTGAATCCTTATAGAAGTCTACTGTGCGTGGAGTCACCTTTATTTTTGTCCCAGGACATTCAGGCATCGATGGAAATGAAAGAGCTGACAGGTTGGCTGGATCCGCTATTACTACCGACAGTCAGCCTATGGATATTGCTGATATTAATAATGCCCTCAGAGAAATGGGAAGGATAGAGGACTTTGGGGGCAGTGAATCCACATCACTCGCCAGAATGGCAGACTTGGGAATTAAGATCGGCATAGCAAAAAACGAGACACACGGCAGAAGACTTGTTAATCAACATAGAACTGGTACTATTTGCCATCGGACGTTGGGGTTCATACTGATCACCTATGGACATGTCAGGAGTGCAATGATGATAACCCAACTAACTGATTAACTAACCAAATTTAATGTAATTGTTACTGTAGCATGCACCTGACGAGATCCAGCGAAATATGCCAATCAATAAATTGTGCAATCTATTGTTTGTTTCTTCTTTCTTCAAAAGATAAACTTAACAACACAGAAGAAATGAGAAAACGGTAAACATAATACACAGAAGAAAATGAGATGGGCGAATGAATCAGATGACAAGTAGAAGGCTAAGGGCGAAAAAAGTATGGTCGTGGTATGACTTTCCTGAGTGGCTGTTCTGTGAGAATTTAGAGCAGTAGATGTTTGCCATAGCCATCTACAGTACCTGATATATAGAAGGCACCACACGGCAGCAGTGACTTATTGATTGGGACCACCCAGCAGCAGTGACTGATTGACTTGGGACCACACAGCAGCAGTGACTGATTGATTGGGACCACACAGCAGCAGTGACCGATTGATTGGGACCACACAGCAGTAGTGACTGATTGACTGATTAATTGATTGGGACCACACAGCAGCACTGATTCACACGACGCAACAGTACTGATTGACATTCTCCAGCACAGATTTTCAGCTCAATAGTACTGATTGACTGACTGACAGCTCACAAGTACTCATTGACTGACAATTCGCCAGTAATGATTGAATGATTGATAACTCACCAGCACAAACTGGGTTATTCTCACAAAACTAACACTGTTGGCTTGTTCGCGCAGAGAGAGCTAGTATTATTTCGTTGTTTAAACAGCTAGCATCATATTGGTTGATCTCACAGAGCTATTATTACTGGGTTGATTTCACAGAGCTATAATTACTGGGTTGATTTCACAGAGCTATTATTACTGGGTTGATTTCACAGAGCTATTATTACTGGGTTGATTTCACAGAGCTATTATTACTGGGTTGTTTACGCAGAGCTAGTTTTACTTCGCTGATTAAACAGCTAGCATTACGGGGTTGATTTCACAGAGCTATTATTACTGGGTTGTTTACGCAGAGCTAGTTTTACTTCGCTGATTAAACAGCTAGCATTACAGGGTTGATTTCACGGAGCTATTATTACTGGGTTATTCACACTGAGCTTGTATTACTGTATTTTTCTCAGAGCTTGTATTACTGGGTTGTTCTTAAAGAGCTTGTATTACTGAATTGTTCACACAGAGCTATTATTACTGGGTTGTTCTCACAGAGCTTGTATTACTGGGTTGTTCTCACAGAGCTTGTATTACTGGGTTGTTCTCACAGAGCTTGTATTACTGTGTTGTTCTTACAGAGCTTGTATTACTGGGTTGTTCTCACAGAGCTTGTATTACTGGGTTGTTCTCAGAGCTTGTATTACTGGGTTGTTCTCACAGAGCTTGTATTGCTGTGTTTTTCTAACTGAGCTTGTATTACTGTGTTGTTCTTACAGAGCTTGTATTACTGTATTGTTCTCAGAGCTTGTATTACTGTATTGTTCTCAGAGCTTGTATTACTGTATTGTTCTCAGAGCTTGGATTACTGGGTTGTTCACACAGAGCTATTATTACAGGGTTGTTCACACTGAGCTAATATTACTGGGTTGTTCTTACAGAGCTTGTATTACTGGGTTGTTCTCACAGAGCTTGTATTACTGGGTTGTTCTCACAGAGCTTGTATTACTGGGTTGTTCTCACAGAGCTTGTATTACTGGGTTGTTCTTACAGAGCTTGTATTACTGGGTTGTTCTTACAGAGCTTGTATTACTGGGTTGTTATCACAGAGCTAGTGTTGTCGGGTTGTTCTCACAGAGCTAGTGTTTGCGGGTTGTCAGGAAGTGGGTAAGCGTCAAAACAATCGGGTTGACACTTGCATGAGTCAGGACAGAAGCCAAACTGACAGGCTGACCAAAGGCTACAGCCACGTGGTTGTGGCAGACAGGCGCAGGTCGGGCAGTTGTTGCTGTCCTTCATGTAGCCACTAGGGCAGTCGGACTGGCACCAGGTGTCGCTACATTGACACTGACACATGCTGCAGCCCATAGCGTCCTCCATGTATCCATGGTGACAGATGAGATTGCAGGGGCGTAGACGGCACCAGGGGGCGCCACATGTGTAGTCGCACGTGACCGGACAACCCTGCAGGTCTTTGATGAGGTCAACCTGACATCCGCCAGGAGCAGGCGGGCACAGCAGGAGTTGACATTTGTTGCCCAGTGCTGGTGGAGAAATTAGCAGAGGCAGCCATTAATGACAGTCACAACAGAACGTGTTGGCATGGAGATAAATCGAAGAAAACATGTACATCAATCATCACAGAGAACACATAGATCCATCAAAAAGCAAATAAGGAGGATTTGTAGAATGCATAGATGAATCATAGACAACAAATTGATCAACCATACCGTAAATCTGGAAGAAATGTGGCTTTTCTGCCTACCCCCAGACCACAAGGAGTTCATCATCCGGTCGTCGCGAAGTCAGATTTAGCCAACTACGCTATATATGTATATATAGTTTTTTTTTCAAGCGAACGAATGTTGAGTGCTGAATTAGGAATAATCAACAACAAAGAACTCGGGACACTAACATAAGTGCTCAGTCCCCATCTTCAGCAGCAAGGAAGAGTTACAATTCCGATGGTACCAGTAACCGTCTGATTGTATATCCGTCATATTCTTCCCCTTGGCGTTCAGCGTTGGCCAGATCCCATGGTAACTCCTCGCAGCGCCATTCTTCTCAGACCGTAATGATCTATCTGCCCCTCCGCACGGTTTACTCGCTCGCAAAGGGCCCTCATAATATCTAGCTTATCATACATCTATTCGTCACCTACTGGTGCAGAGCCAGCAAGTCTATCCGCCTGCTCATTTCCCAACACACCGGCATGACAGAGAAAAAATATCCAAAGGATATAAACTACCCGGGACCTCTGAAGTGTTGCTTGCCACTCAGCACGAAGCATGCCTGTTTTCACCTTTCTCAACATGCTCTGCGAGTCAGTTACGATCCGGCATGTGTGTACAGCTGATTCTCAAGCCAGCGGAAGGAAGCAGAGACTGCCTCCACCTCCATTCTTAAATTAGATGTTGTGATATGATATGCAAGGCTTTGTTGCACTAGGCGATGTCCATTCGCTTTTGCTATGAAACGCCATGTCTGCCTCTCAGAGCCATGTGTATAAGTAAGCAAACGAAACATGTAGATAAATCACTGAGATAAATTATAGAGAAAATATAGATAAATCAGAGACAAAAATCATTAGATAAATCAGAGAGAGCATATAAATCACTGACGATGTGTAGATGAATGACGGATAACAAGTAGATAAATCACAAATATACAGTAATGTTTCACATAGATTCGGATTCAGCCGTTGTTCAACATGAAGCAAAAAAAAAAAAAAAAATCATGTAATGATTGCGCAACCTTCAAACAGAAGTCTCTACTTAAAGCCGATGTGCAGATAGTGCGACGTTCAGAATGAAAGATCTACTTACTGTTCTTGAGATAGTGCGACTGTCAGAACGAAAGATCTACTTGCCGTTCACGAGATGGTGCGACTTTCAAAACGAAAAACCTTCTTAACGTTCGTGAATTGATGTGACATTGAAACAGAATTATCCACTTATCATTTATGTTATGATGCGACGTTCCCACATAAAGATCTACTCACTGTTTATGAAAAGATGCGATGTTCAAACATAAATATTTACTTACCGTTCATAAAAGGATGCGACGTTCCCACACAAAAAAATATACTTAACCGTTCATTCCACAGAAAGATCTACTTCCCGTTCATGAGATGATGCGACGTTTCCACAGAAAGATCTACTTATCGTTCATGAGATGATGCGACGTTTCCACAGAAAGATCTACTTATCGTTCATGAGATGATGCGACGTTTCCACAGAAAGATCTACGTATCGTTCATGAGATGATGCGACTTCCCCACAAAAAAGATCTACTTATATTTCATGAGATAATGCGACGTTCCCACAGAAAGATCTACTTACAGTTAGTGATGAGACCACCCCAGGGGCTGGGCGCCATGGCGCAGACAAACAGCAGCTCTAGCAACAT